CTGTTCTTTTTCCTGTAAGTTAGAACTTTGAATTTTTAGTGACTCTTCCAAAACAGAGCCCAAGTTGAACACTGCACAAAGGATAGACTTATCAGACCCCACAAATGCATCTTATCAATGGAATGGCAAGGAATGTGACTCTTTCAAAAGAGTACTTCTGAATGTTTGCTCATTAGAAAAATGACATTCAGTGAGATAGCAGTGATTAAAATCGAATCATTTGGAAATGGTTACAGAAGTCTTGCTTCTTGTTAAGAACCTAGGTATCAGCTAGTGGGTTCATGAAGCAAGTGAGTAAAAAGAATAATTTGTGGCCCAGATTTGGTGATGGCCCAACAACTGGAGGAAGGGACTCCCCCCTCCCCCCAACTCTTTATTTCTTTGAGCTAGGAATATATCTGCAAATGTGATTATTGTTTTTTGGCTTTGCTTCAGTAAATTTTCAGATGGACAGTGCTGGAATTCACTACTGTTAAGTGAATGTATGTTAAAGATCACTTATCCAGCATAACTCAAACAGTACTGCCAAACCTGGGTAAAAAGAAAAGCCATCACAGTTTCGACAGATGGGAGCCAACAAAGGGAAAGGGTGTTGATGTTTCATGTCTAGTGGGACAGCACAAGGGAACACCTATTTGTGTTTCTGCTGATTGACCTGACTCACCTCTGGGAAACCTAATTTAAGGTCATGGCCATGACACATCAGAAGGTACACTGACCCTGTGGGTTTTGACATGGATCACTTTCTTTCCAATCTACACTTTCTCTCTCTTTTTGTACTGAATTACTCTGGGAAATTCCATTTGAGACCATTTTTTTTTTCTGTAAGAAAAAGGTTTTAGAATTCTAATCAGAATATAATTATATGTAGTTACATCTATATAATTATATGCAATAATTTTTACAGTCCATCTAGAAACTTAAGAATTCTCCTTAAAATCATAATTTATCCCAGGTATGTACTAGCATTGACTTCTTTTATATGTAATGAGGCATTTATTAATTAGCAAGAAATTTAGTATCATTTCAATAGTTTTATGTAGTTGGGTTATATTCTAGTGCAAAGGTCGTGTCTATTTTCCACTGTAAAACTGGAAGGTTTTTAAGTTAGAGGTCTTGTCTTTTCTTAATTATATTTAATCATATGATTGGAAAGTTGCAAAATCCAGTGATTCCCAGTGGACATTCTGTTTCTTCAACAAACGAGTGAAATGTTGTTTGGTTGGCAGTCACTCAAAGTGTGGTAAACTGCAAAGTACTTTATCATTATTCTTCTAAGACCTTGGAATAAATAAACTTCACCTAATAAACTCCCCTCCAAGGGTACAACGGTTTTGTAATTGCAAGCATTTAAAAAGCCAACTTTTGAAATTAATTTTCCTGTAATATGTCAAGTACTGAAACAAGAGGAAAAGTCAGAAACTTATTCCAAATATATGGTTACTCATAGTCATTATGAAGGGTACATAGTGGCTTTTAGTACACTCTACAATAAAAACGTCTGTTTTTTTAAAAAAACATAATTGCATGGTTATAAAGCACCTTTATAGATTCATTGGCACTCAGGCTGAACTTTGGTCTTTTGCCTTAGCCTTCTTTTTAATGGCTTCTGATTTGAATTGAGTAGTGTTCAGTTTTTTTTTTTTTTCCCACAAGTTTGTCCTTGGTATGTGAGGTAGATAGATATAGTGCGTGCAGTTTCCAGAATGAAACTATCTGCAAACAATCTGTTTATATGGGCACACCATTCTTTTGTGCTTAAATGAATATGTTGAAAGTATAATTGTTCCTTGAACAATTGAGATAGTATATTCTGAAGGAATTTCATAGGCCTTATCCCAGGGTTCCGTTATGCTGTTAGCTGTGCTATAATATGACATCATCACAGCTCTCAATATTTACTGAAGGCAAAGTGAAGTAGTTGCCGAGCTGAGATAATACTTATCCCTTAGGAATGTAGATTTTAAGCAAAGGCTAGTTTTAAGACTTTATGTTTCCATTCCTTTATGGTTAAATCTTGACCTAAAGGGCTAGTATAATCCAGGAGTGTGAGTAATGCTATTTTGTAAGTCCAACTTAGTTGGGATTTACGATTTCTAATTTTTAAAATGTACTTTTAAAATGTCTTCAAATTCATATTTTAAGTCCAATCAGGTTCCTTACACTGTTAACTATGGAGAGGAATGCATAAGAGGCAGCCACAAAGGAATCCAGTGATTTTGCTTCTCTTTTTTAAACAAAAATTTTATTAAATTTATTTTGTTTGGGCAGTTGAGGATTGGCTTAGCCTTTTTGGGCTGCAGTAATATAATATCATAGATTGGGTAGTTTATAGATAACAGAAATGTATTTCTCACAGTTCTGAAGGCTGGGAAGTCCAAGATCAAGGCCATAGCAGCAGTAGTGTCTGAGGGGTGATACTTTCTCATTTAAAGTGCCTTTTTAGCTGTATCCTCACATAGTAGAAGAGGCTATCTGTCTACTTGGGACTCTCTCTATAAGGGCACTAATCCCAATCACAAGGACTCCACCCTTCTGATCAAAGTACTTCCGAAGTACTTCCTAAGACTATTACCTTGGGGGTAAGATTTCAACATATGAATGTCAGGGAACATAAACATTTATACCATAGCAAGGGTAATGGCAGAAAAGAACCACTGTCAGATACTGGACATCAGTGATGCATAGTTTTCTTTTAAGGAACACGTTTAGAAGTACAGGTTGATGGGAAATTAATAGAAAGGAGACACTCATTTAGTAAGGATATTAGGGTAATGAGGACATATAAGATATTTCATTTAAAATAATTTCTAGTTGATTCTTGTCATTCATCTTGGGCTTGAATCTATCACCAAAGAATCTACCTGTCATTTAATAAGAATATACTTAGAAATAGAAAATGAGGAGTCACTACACTCTCTATAAGTTATATAACTCTATGTAACCCTGACTTGATTTCATATACCATGAAATCTTTTGTCTACTGGAGCCTGAACTTGGGCAATAAATTATAACCTCAGATGTAAATACAGTTCCCACAACCATTACCAAAAAAACATGGTTAAAGAATTTATGAACAAGTTGGAAAAATGTGATACCTAAAGTTAACCAATGTATCATATTGCATAAAATGATTATTCTTGAAATAACCCTGATTACCTAATTACCTCTTATTGTTTTGGTTACACGCATAGAATTCTATAAGTGTGTGATGTAAAACTGTCATTTTTTTTCTTCTCCGAGCCCCTTCTATTTCTCTGGCTGTCATTCAAACCAAAATGAAGAAGCGCTAATTCAATCACAGGTGTGCATATACGCACACCCACATGCATGCAAGAGTATTAGGACTCATTGATTCTTTACTGGAGTGTGAGTCAACCACTCTTGTAGAAATAAACTAGGTTTCGTTCTGAATTTCAGAGCCTCTTTGGTGTTGTTGTTGACCTTTTAAATCTTGGGGAAAACATTTAAAAATCTCCACTCCTTACCTTTTTTGGGGTGTGGGGTATAAGGGGAAAAAGCAAGGGTCTTAGAATTGAGTGAGATTGGGATGGGGTTACCACTGACACAGGAATTGCCTGGCTCTTTGTGGCTTTATGACAGGAGCATGGAGGGAGAGTCTTTGAATATGGCAGAATACTTCTGAATCATATTTGTGTTAGTCTTGATTAAATTCTAAATATTATCTGGCTTTGTGGTTGATCACTTGATCTATTTTCACTCGGTTTCTCATGTGTGTTTCCCTTTCCTTTGGGGGTGGTAAGAGTTCTATAAATAATACTTTATATAGAGTTTCCTCTGATGTCTGCCCTTTGTTCTCATCTTTGGTGAGTTAGGTGAGTGTTTAGCTTTTTCTAGGAAAACATTTTTTCAATCATTAAACCTTTGGGTGAAAAATGTAGAAAAAAACAATTTTTAACTCACTCTTTCTTTTATCCAGTATCTTTCAGAATGTTTGAATAAAACAAAGCAGTGTATTCATTTGGATGGTGATGTATAGCAATCAAAGATGCTTTTCTGTTTCCTTTAACAGTGTAGGACAGTCCAAGTGTAATGTATGGGACATAAAAACTACCAAATGTGCTTTGCTCTACCTGAACTTTTTTGTTTCTGAATATTGCCGTATTATCAAAATGTCTAGAAGTCTTAGAAAGCAGCAGCTATGGCTGTTTGTTCCATTGCTAAGGTTTATAGAAGATCTGTTATTATCAGAGTAGATCTGTTTTTCACTGAGCTTGTGTATTTTTAAACACACATGGAACCAGACTTGCAGGCTAAAGCTTCTGTTAGAATCTCAATGAGAGGGAGCATTTGTTAGCTGAGAAATAAACAAAGACACAGCAAACATGATGACCCTCCGTTAAGCATCCACAAAGGGAAACTTTATGTTCATTTCACCACTTGACACATCAGGGTTTCCAACTGTTTGAGATATATATTGGTTCATCACTAATATTTTACCTTATATGAACCTGCCTTGTGAAGTCTCAATAAGATCCTCATGGTGGTGGCTATTTTTATACATTGTAGGTTCTATCCACATGCAGAATTTTGAGATGCATATTTTTCTACCTTATTTAAAAAGTTTAGTTAAAGAATCATTCTTGGGGGTTGTGGTTGTGGCTCAGTGGTAGAGCACTTGCCTAACATGTGTGAGATACTGGGTTCAATCCTTACCACCATACAAAAATAAAAAAAATGAAAAATAAAATCATTCTTGGTGTTTTCATGGTTACATGTGGGCAGGTATAAAAACAAAGATGTTTTGTCTCTTTTTGGTTACTTTTATTCTCTCTAACTGTAGGGTGAGGAGTGGTCTATGACTCTGGGTGTATTCCAGAAGGTAATGCAATAAATGATAGAGTAAGCTATTAAAACTTTACAAAATGAGACATAAAAAAGAAAGTTCTGGTAAGAGTGGAAATGGAGGGGTTGACATTGCTATTTCTAGAGGAAGTTGGAGCAATTTTAATTATTATTCACTATTTTCATCTTTCTAGATGGATTAAGTTTGAAGAAAAAGTGGAACAAGGTGGGGAGAGGTGGAGTAAGCCCCATGTGGCCACGTTGTCCCTACACAGCTTATTTGAGCTTAGGACATGTATGGAGAAAGGATCGATCATGCTTGACCGGGAGGCTTCTTCTCTTCCACAGTTGGTGGGTAAGTATACTGTTGCCTTCACAAGTCATGAGTCTACATTAATGTAGAGGCCTACTAGTGGAAATAGAGTTGAATAGTATATAACAATCTTTTCCTTTCCACATTGTGAAATTAGTGTGGTTTATTGTAGAAAAGTTGAAAGTCAGAAAAGAAAAATGTAGCTGGGCACAGAGGCACACACCTGTAATCCTAGTGGCTTGGGAGGCTGAGGCAGGAGGATCGTGAGTTCAAAGCCAGCTTCAGCAAAGAGAGGTGCTAAGCAACTCAGTGAGACCCCATCACTAAATAAAATACAAAATAGGGCTGGGGATGTTGCTCAGTGGTCAAGTGCCCCTGAGTTCAACCCCAGGTACCCCTCTTTACCCCCCCAAAAAAAGATAAAAAAATAAAATGTCTTCTGTAATATGTTAACATTTGGAAATATTTTCTTCCTGATTTATTTTCCAATCTTCTCTTTCATGCTTTTCATTTTTTACATTATTTTTTCTTATGTTTAGGATTGTACTATTTATTTATAGATTTGTATTAATTTAATTCACTTATTGGCACAAGATTAATATTTTGAGTAGACTCTCTCACTCACCCATCTTTGGTCTTATCAGACCAGAAGTCGGCACATTAGATTTCTAGAACTCTTTGACCTACACGTTGCATCGAGCTTCTGTGCACTTCAGTTTCAGCATCTGCAAAATGGAGCTTAAATCTTCTATAAGAAGGGAAATAGTCTGGGTCCTGCATTGGATGTCAAGCTTTTTAGCTGTGTATAGAGAAAGCTTATGAAGGGCAGCGAGTAGGTGGGACCTTTTGGGTTAGTGACTGAGTCAGTTCACATTGTTGCTGAGTATTATTTGTATCACCAAGAACTTGTGAAATTTCTCTGCCTGAAATTCTACCATTTAAAGATTCATTCCATCGAGCCCAGGGTTTGTCCTCTATAAACATGTGCACATTCTCTGGAAGGTATCGTGTATCAATCCCATGAGATATAGAAAGACATCACAGGAAAAATGATAGATTTAAAATTGGGAGGGGGGGCTTTAATGAAAGTTTACCTCTGCTGGCATGGATGACCAAGGATAAAGCAAGTAACTTAACTCTTGTGCAGTCTTATTAATCTATAAAAGCAGGATGAAGCAGAGTTGTTATGAGAATAAAATGAGATCATTAGATGTATTTGTTACAATTTAATTATCTAGATCTTTTTACATGTCACCTGGAAGAGGGCTGAGTGAAGACCAAGTCAGGTTAAATAGATGCTCAGGAACTTCATGAGCAGGAGAAAAGATTCCAAATGGTGTGGTAGACAGAGCTGGAAATGGTTGCATAGTTTCTTGACTATGCCTGGAGCTGATAAACAGGAGATGAAAGTCAAAGTGGAATTACACATGGGAGCTTTTCTTTAAAGCTGTCTTTGGGGTCTTCAGCACCAGAAAGAGCTTAAGGAGCTTCTGGTCTTCAGCAGCTAATTGACCCCTTTACATGTAGTAGAAGACAGATTCCACATTAAATTGGAACCTCTTTAGCCAATGGCCACAGAGAGAACTTCTGATATTTACTGCATTTAAGAAAGGTTAATCGAAGCATTTTATGTTCTTGCATTAATTTTCCATTACCTTTTATTATCAACTGTGAACCTTTTCCCTAACCTCCATGCATTTACTTTAAAAATTGTCATTACATGTTAAAATTAGACACCACTGGGTCATTTTGAGGTATCATCCTTCACTAATATGTTTGCTCCACGGTCCCTGGGGCAAGTAGGCAGAGAGCCAGCGCTGTCATTCTGGAGCTAATAATACAGACATACAGTTCAGAGGCAAATCACACGTCATGAGCAAAACAAAGGGAGAAAGGGGGAAGAGGCTGGTTTTGCAGGCATGGGAAGAAAGCTTGCTTGAAAGAGTGTAACTGGCTAACAACAAAGACTTACAGGTCCTTGGAGAGAATCAAAACCTTCCGGAGGGTAAAACATGAAGAATAAAAGGTCCTATTTTATCTAGTTTAAAATGACAGAAGATGGAACAGTAATTTTAAGAGTTATAGTCATTTAGTTAAGAAAAAAATCCTTTCTAGCAGAGGGTAAAATGGAGTTGTTCCCAAATCCTGAATCATGCTATAATTTTCAGTTGAAAATTATTCACAGCTAAGTCTTAAGATGCATCTCCCCCCACACTCCAATTTTATTTCAAAAATAAGATGAAAAACTAATAGCAACTATGATAGCAAATATCAAAAAACAATAGTATGCTGCTTATTCTTCTTTGCAGTCCACCAGCTACCACGTCTCATCAGTCTGCCTCTCAGAGGCTTCCCACCCTGAGCTCAAAGGCAGTGCCATAGGAGGGGCCTTGAGATGCATGGGGGCTATGAGTGGCAGGTGACTATCTAAGCAGGTGTCACTTCTCATACTTACCAAAAAAAAAAAAAAAAAGAAACAAAAATTCAGCCTAATTCTGATTCTTCTCAGGACCTCTATATGCTTTTTCCATGAAGAACCCCTTCTGCATGCTAATAGAAAAACTTATCTTTTTAAAAAAGTATCATAAAGGGTAAAACATCATTTTCATGGATTATTTTAATAGTTTTATTATTAGCATCATCATCATAATTCTACATTTAACGAGAGTGTCATTCATATTTGAAGCTAAGTCCATGGGAATTTTCCTTCCCTTCTAAGTTAAAAACATTATAAGCCATTTCAGGTATTCTATTATGATAAAAAATGGATCAGGGAAATGTACCTCTATTTTTGGAGCTCATTTTGTATGTAAAGGCATTCCTGAGCTGTGCATGTTGGCAGATGTGTGAGTTCTGTTGCTTCTTGCTTTTCACACCTTTTTATATTTTCAAAATGACTTTATTTCTATTGTTTCTTCTAATTACAAAACGAATATATGCTTATTTTAAACTGATACAGAAAAATGTAACCCACAAAAATAGAAATACCCACTCAACTAATTTTCAGATCTATCTTCTCAGGTTGCTTGCCTGCTTTCTTTTCTTTTCATTTACACACACACACACACACACACACACACACACACACACATTATTTATTTTAGTAAAGGTACTAAATATAGTTCAGATACTACTGAACTGTGTCCCCATCCCTTTTTATTTTTTGAGGCAGAGTCTCGCTAAGTTTCTAAGAATGATCTTGAACTTGTGATCCTCTGGCTGCAGCTCTGCCAACTTGCTGGGATTATAGGCATGCACTACTGTACCTGCGTCTCAGCATTTTTTCTATGCAACCGTTTATGCATCTATAATTTATTTCACAAAGCAGAATCATACTGCCTCATTTTTTAAAAAAAATCTTTATTTTATTTACTTATTTGTATGTGGTACTGAGGATTGAACCCAGTGCTTGAAGCATGTGAGGCAAGAGCTCTACCACTGAGCTACAACCTCAGTCCATATACTGCCTCATTTTAATTGGTCTTTTCTTAAACTTAAAACATAACAATATTTTTCCATGTTATTAAATGTGAATGTAATTTTAATGTATTAAAATTACACAGTATTATCACACAGTATTTAATAATCTATTATTGGGTGTTTAAATTGCCTTCAAATTTTTTATTGTAAAGAAAAGAAGCAAAGATATTTCTTATAGTTTTGTGAAATTGTTAGATTATTTTCTTGGTATGAATTTCTAATGGTAGAATGGTCAGAAGCTTTGAACATATTCAGAGGTTTTGATATGTATTTCTTCAAGAAAGTGACCTAGTCACTTTATCATTAATGCATAAAATTGCCTGCTGCATGCACCCTTCATACCATGGGGGATTGATTTGTCTTTTTAATTTTTATCACTTTGGTGGATTAAAAAATACCTCATAATTGGTTTAATTTGCATAAATTTGTTTAAATTGTCTTTCTTAATCTTGAAGTTGAGTATTTGCATATTTTTTGGCCCTTTGTATTGCTTTTAAGAAGTCATTTGTGACCTTTGGCCATTTTTCTGTTGCATCACATCTTTCTTTTGGTTTGCAAAATTTCTGGGTGTATTGATTCTTTTCTTGTCTAGAGTTTGCTTTTTAAATCTAAATAAAAACATGTGACCTGGAGAAAGATCTAAACTGTGAGTCAAAAAAACTAGTTTTATTGTTTTTTTTTTGCCTCTAGTGAGTCTACATGTGTGGACCAGCATCTCTCTAGCCCACTCTTTTCTCACTTGTGTAATAAGAGTTTGAACTCTTTATTTTTTTAATTTGTTTTAATTAGTTATACATGACAGTAGAATGCATTTATGTACTTTGATATACATAGATGGCATGCAGTTTCTCAATTTTCTGTGTGTACATGTTGCAGAATCATATTGGTCATGTGGTCACATATATACATACAGTAATAATGTCTGTTTCATTCTACTATCTTTCCTAGCCCCACATCTCCCCTCTCTTCCCCTCCCATCACTTCCCTCTACCTAATCTAAGGTAATGATGTTCTTCCCTAGTGCCCCCTACCTTATTGTGAATTAGCATCTGCATATTAGAGAAAACATTTGGCCTTTGGTTTTGTGGGATTGGCTTATTTCACTTAGCATGATCTTCTCTAACTTCAACCATTTACTGACAAATGCCATAATTTCACTCTTTAAAGCTGAGTAATATTCCATGGAGTATATATACCACATTATATTTATTCATTCATCTATTGAGGGACACCTAGGTTGGTTCCATAGTATAGCTATTGTGGATTGAGCTGCTACAAACATTGATGTGGCTGCATCACTATAGTATGCTGGTTTTTTAATTCCTTTGGGTATAAACCAAGGAGTGGGATAGCTGGTTAAATAGTGGTTCCATTTCCAATTTTCTGAGAAATCTCTATACTTCTTTTCATAGTGCCTGCACCAATTTGCAGTCCCACCAGCAATGTATGAGTATAGCTTTTTTTACCACATCCTCATCAACATTTATTATCGACTATATTCTTGATGATTGCCATTCTGACAAAAGTGAGATGAAATCTTAGAGTAGTTTTGATTTTCATTTCTCTAATTGCTAGAGATTTTGAACACTTTTTCATATATTTGTTGATCAATTGTATTTCTTCTTCTGTTAAATGTCTGTTCAGTTCCTTAGCCCATTTATTGATTGGGTTATTTGTTTTTATGGTGTTAAGTTTTTTGAGTTCTTTATATATTCTAGAGAGTAACACATTATTGGAGGTGAAGTAGAAAAGACTTCCTCTCAATCTGTAGGCTTTCTCCTCAGGTTATTGTTTCCTTTGATGAGAAGAAGCTTTTTAATTTGAATCCATCCCATTTATTGATTCTTTATTTTACTTCTTGTGCTTTAGGAGTCTTGTTAAGGAAGTAAGATCCTAGGCCGACATGGTGAAGATTTGGGCCTATTTTTTTCTTCTGTGAGCCACAGGGTCTCTGTTCTAGTGCCTAAGTGTTTGATCCATTTTGAGTTGATTTTTGTGCAGGGTGAGAGGTAGAGGTTTAATTTCACTTTGCCACATATGGATTTCCCATTTTGCTGGCACCAGTTGTTGAATAGGCTATCTTTTCTCCAGTGAAAGTTTTTGGCACCCTTGTCTAGTATGAGATAACTGTATTTATATGGGTTTGTCTCTGTGTCCTGTATTCTGTACCATTGGTCTACAAGTCTATTTTGGTGCCAATACCATTCTGTTTTTGTTACTATAGTTCTGTAGTTTAAGGTCTGTTATTGGGATGTCTTCTGCTTCACTTTTCTTGCTAAGGATTACTTTAGCTATTCTGGGTCTCTTATTTTTCCAAATAAATTTCATGACTGCCTTTTCTATTTTTATGAAGAATGTCATTGGGATTTTAATAAGAATTGCATTGAACTCTTTAGTTTTTTAAAATTTATTTTAATTAGTTATACATGACAGTGGAATGCATTTATGCACTTTGATATACATAGATGGCATGTAATTTCTCATTTTTCTGAGTGAACATGTTGCAGAATCATATTGGCTTTTGGTAGTATGGCTGTTTTGACAATATTAATTCTGTCTATCCAAGAGCATGGGATATCTTTCCATCTTCTGAGATTTTCTTTAGTTTCTTTTTTTAGTGTTCTGTAGTTTTCATTGTAGAGGTCTTTCGCCTCTTTTGTTAGATTGATTCCCAGGTATTTTTTTATTTTTTATTTTTTGAGGTTATTGTGAATGCAGTAGTTTTCCTAATTTCTCTTCAGCAGATTTATCACTGATGTATAGGAATGCATTTGATTTATGAGTGTTATTTTATATCCTGTTACTTTGTTGAATTATTTTATTAGTTCTAGAAGTTTTCTGGTGGAATTTTTTTGGGATCTATAGGATCATGTCATCAGCAAATAGTGATTGTTTGAATTCTTCTTTACCTATTTGTATCCCTTAAATTTCTTTCTTTTGTCTAATTGCTCTGGCTAGAGTTTCAAGGATGATGTTGAATAGAAATGGTGAAAGAGGACATCCTTGTCTTGTTCTAGTTTTTAGTGGGAATGCTTTCAATTTTGCTCCATTTAGAATGATGCTGGCCTTGGGTTTAGCATATATAGCTTTTACAGTGTTGAGGTATGTTTCTACTATCCCTAGGTTTTCTAGTGTTTTGAACATGAAGGGGTGCTGTATTTTGTCAAATGCTTTTTCTGCATCTATTGAGATGATCATATGATTCTTGTTTTTAAGTCTATTAATATGATGAATTACGTTTATTGATTTCCGTATGTTGAACCAACCCTGCATCCCTGGGATGAATCCCACTTGATTGTGGTACACTATTTTTTTAAATACATCTTTGTATGCAATTTGCCAGAATTTCATTGAGCATTTTTGAGTCTATGTTCATCAGGGATATTGGTCTGAAGTGTTTTTCCCTTAATGTGTCTTTGTCTAAGAGCTTGAACTCTTGCTCAGCTTTCAGCTCTGCTATCATCTGGAGTTGGCACTTTTTCTCCCAATTGGTAGCGTCTGTGGGATTTTGAACACTGAAGGCTTAATTTCAGTGTAGCTGTAAACTGTTACTGCCCCCACTTTCCTTTGAAAAGTTTTGTAGTTTATGTTTAAAGAGATTCCTATAATGTGGACCATTTTAATGGAAACTTAATGAAGGGCATAAGCCACACAGATGTTTTAACCTGTTCTAACTGGTGATTTCCAGACATTAGTAACAGGGCAGGCTGGGTATGCATATGGGTTGGTTTGTGATTTTAAGGGAAAGCAAGAATAGAGGGAGGCTCTGCCAGGAATGGTAGATAAGAAACACTTTAATCCACAACCCTGGAATTAGAGTAGGAGTTTGATAACACTTGCAGCTGATATGCTGGGCTGTTTTTTTTTTCTTTTAAATTTTTTTTAAAAATTTATGGTTCTTCTGTAAAATGGACTTTCCACATGGAACAAAGCTTAAAGGGAAAGAAGAAGGGTTGTGTTCTGTAGGCACCTAATTATTTTACCGTTCAACAGAGGGATAATTGTAATTACAGGATCAGTTCTGAGATTTTTACTGAGTGGGGTTTGTGTAGTTAAAAATACTCAGAGCTAAAGGCCACTGTCAAACCAAAACATCCACAAGAGAAACTCTTCCTGTCTTGCCCAGGCATCCTACCAAGTGGTCCAGTGTTACATGACATTTATGGCATCTGTGTAAGGCACATGATGGAAAATCCTGGATTTAGCCTCTGCTTGACTTCCAAATAATTGATTGTGAATTGTAAGTGTCAGTTTCTTGCTATAGACTGTGAGACCAAATCTATGAGTACTTGCTATAAAGATGGATGTATGAGAAGTACAATTATGCCCAAGAAAAGCCCCTTGAAAATCTGCGACTTCTCTTTACAGGGGTGGGAATCGTGGGAGATGCTAGTATCCAACTAGGATCCATTAGTTTTCTTGTCAGACTTTTGCAGAAGAATAACTTGTTCTCTTTTTACTTTTGTATATTGAGATGCTTGCTCAAGAGGGGAATATGCATATGTGTTAGATGCATCTATGTATCCAAAAATGTTGGTATGGGATATATTGTTCTGGCTCAGTGCAGAACACTATTTGCTTGTAGTGAGGTAGCTTCCTGCCAATATTGCACAGATTTTGTGATTTTTTTGGTCTTCAATCTCATTCAGGGTAGAAATAAAATATCCTGTCATGTAGATGTTAAAGTAAGATGCACCTGGATACATTTATGTTATACTATTAACATGTTTTACTTGTGAGAAAGAGGATTTCTTATTTTCTGTTAGAGTAGAGGAAAGAGATGGCGGGGGGGGGGGAAGGAAGGAAGGGGGAAATACTGACAAATGATATTGGCCAAATTATACTGTTACATTGCATGCATGTACAAATATGTAACAATAAATCTCACCATAATGTACAACTATAATGTTCCAATAAAAAATGGGAAAAAAGCCTGCCTTAGAAGAGATTAAAGGATAATTTCAAAGTTACTCTTTTTTTTTAATTAATTGGTGTTCAGATGACTTGATATTAAGAAACTATTGTTTCCTTTTCTCTTGTTTAAAAAATATATTTTTTTGTAGTTGTAGATGGACAGTGTGCCTTTATTTTATTTTTATGCAATGCTAATGATTGAACCTAGTACCACACATGTACTGAGCCCCAGACCCAGCTCTCTCTCGTTTTCTTGTAAAGAAAACATAACCTCTTAGGAGAATTTGGAAAGATAGATTTAAATTTTTTTAAAAATTAAAAAAATTAAAGTTTAATCTTACTTTTAAATTTACACATTCTTAAGTTTTTTATACCATTAATATTTCTAACACATAATAGTGCATGAAAATTTTCCAGTTTATTTTAGATGAAAATGTAAATTATTAACTCATAGAAGTAGAATGTAATTTATGTGAAATCGCTCAACTTGGATGAAGGATAATGAACAAGATAATTTTGCCTTCCCAAACATACAATTATTACTAGAATATTTATAACTCTCATTAAAACCAGTATCCCTGTACCTTGTATCTTTATCCTTTACATAAAGTAGGAAGTTAGTATATTGATATTAAATTTGAGGGTGACAACCATGAAGCTGGAGTAAAATATTCATATTTCATGATTAAGTTTTATTTTTGTTTCACTTTCTTTTTGTATTAGAGATGATTGTTGACCATCAGATTGAGACAGGCCTCTTGAAACCTGACCTTAAGGATAAGGTGACCTATACTCTGCTCCGGAAGCACCGTCATCAAACCAAGAAATCCAACCTCCGGTCTCTGGCTGACATTGGGAAGACAGTCTCCAGTGCAAGTAGGATGTTTACCAGCCCTGATAATGGTAATGCAGGGCCACTGGCTGCTGCTTTCTCTTACCTGTCTCAACTTTCTTCCACTTCTCGTCATCTTTTCCTCCACATTTCTTCCTTTTCCAAGTTCATATGCCACAGTCATCTCATGATATTTTTTATCCAGGGGGGCAGTTTATAGACTTGCTGGAAGGATTTCACTGCTACTGTAGGCTGAAAAAGCCATGGTGCCTGGCTTGCTCCATATATATCTCTTCTGATGTACTGATAAGGTTTGGTAATAACTATGATGATCCAACCACATATTTCAGATGCATCAGGACGCTTATATATCTTGAGTACTTCAGGTAGTATTTTTCAACATGATGGTTTACCAGAATTAGGAGAATATAGTAAGATATGATAAATGCCTTGAAATCTCATGGATTGAGGTGTTTTCTTGGTGTGTGACAGCATCTGGCCTATAAATGATCACTTCATAAAGTAAGACTCAATAATTTTTTTACTACTTAAAAAAACTTCTCTTTTCATAGGTTATATTCATGGGAAAATAAGTATTCAGGATGGGTTATTAACCCAATTATATAATAGTAGGGAAGGCACTATGTCCTATTCATACTTTATTGCATTTATGAGAGTTTCCTGATAAAAGTGCTATCTTCTGGATTATTCTTTTTGTTTTAAATAAATTTCATGATTGGGTGCAGCCTGAGAAAGGAGAATTTAATTTCCATAAAGCATGGGAAATGAAGGTGTGGTGGGCAGAGTTGCTAAGCACTGGGGTGGTAGAACTAGGTCTGTACTTCCATTCTGCCTATCTTGTTTAGTGTCAGGAGAAATGAGTAGATATGGGAGGTTCTATTTAATTGTGTTCAGTTGCACTTTCAGAACATGAACATGTTGTCATGGAAAAGGTGGATTGAGAGAATTGTGTAGACCGAATTCCAGCTCAGCCACTCTGCTTCCAGAAATGGGGTTTTCTGATTTAGTGTTAATGTAAAAAGTTGGAAGAGAGCTTACTACAAATGAACTTTTCAGTTATATTTCTTAAGGGAAACTGGTTACAAACAAATAAATAGAATAGAAATGCTCTTTGTAAAGAAATTTCACAGTGGTTTGGGAGGCTGAGACAGGAGGATCACGAGTTCAAAGCCAGCCTCAGCAACTTAGCAAAGCCTTAAGAAACACAGCGAGACCTTGTCTCAAAATAAAATACAAAATAGGGCTGGGGATGTGGCTCAGGGGTTAAGTGCCCCAGGGTTCAATTCCTATTTTAAAAAGAAAAATCACAAAAGGTAATCTAACCTGGAACATTCCTACTATAATTTAATGATTCTACTGTTACCTGGAATATTGCTGCTGACAGGAAATGTTTTGGTTTTTGCATGTCTCCGCTTTATTTACTGGTTTTTTAAAAAATGGTTTTTGAAGAAAAAGGTTGTTTAATGACTGAAAAGGTTACAGGGTGAATAATTTTAATAGCTGATGTTAAAATGTATTTCATTTTAAACAACCCCTATTTTTGAAATTAAGGCAATTCAAATTGAAGTCCCTCTTGTATATCATATATAATAATACTCTTTCTCATATAAAATGAAATTTAAACAATTGGGAGTTTTTTTTTTTTTTTTAATCGTGGGGTTGGTGGTATAAAGAGGTAAGAATGTAAAGAGGTAAAAAAGTGCGTTGTGTTTTCAAATGTCATTGTATTTGTGAAGAAAAGAGGAAGAATGAGTACTGTGAGAATGCTTTTTACCACTGCAGTTCTTGGAACTGCAGGCAGAGTCAAAATTACAAACAGATGAGTTTTGGAGGCCAGTATCTCGTGGTAGCTTGAAATCAGTCCTGATATTAGTACTGACCTTCCACAGTATTTGGATGTGGAACACAGCTAGTGAGTTGATAGGGCTCCTCATTTTATCAGTAGATCTCTGTACTTCAGAGGAAAGTTGAAATTGCCTTTGTCATTCACCTTTTCACTTGTGAAATGTTATATGTGCTGGGCATGGGCAGAAAGCAATAGGGAGGGCAGGCAGTTCCTTTCTGGCTCTTCAACAGATCACCTTACACCCTGAAGCATGGGATACCATTAGGTCTTTTAAAACCTATTATTATTGGCCTTTGTGTTATCCAACTCCTTTTAAAATATCACAGGCAAGATTTGGCTTTGAGAGATTCTATAGCAATGAATTTCATGTGCCTCCAAGGTACATTATTATAAATTATCAGATGGTGAATTTTTGGCTTTCTAAAGGTGCTTGTTCTAAACCTGCAAGTTTACACAGTTGCCTTTATATCTTGGAGTTTAATCACTTAATATCTTTAACAACTACAAAATGTTCTTAGAATAAACTTTAAAATAAAGAATTATATAACTATTGCTGCTATTTAAGCCTGAATCTTATGCCTATTGTAGTTGGAGCTATATTCTAATATCCTCATGTAAAGTCTAGAAAAACTGAAGTCACCTTGGTGTTCTAGGACAGGTTGGAAAATAGACCCAGTGATATTGTCAGCTTTATGCGAGCAACAGTGTGATAAATAGCTGAAATTTATGGAGACACTTCAGAGTTGGGAATTTTTTCATTTCCCAGAGGTGTGCTAGAGCCAGCTCTTATCTACTCAGAAGAGCCCATTGTTATCAAAAATTTTGCACACTGGTTAAGTACAGCTTCTATTAAAAATTAAATTATGTAAACATGTAATTAAATAACTATATTAAAAACTCATGTAATAAACACTCAAATTTACCACTTCGGACTTATTTTACTATATTTTATTGTAATCTGTACTCTTGAGGTAATTTCCATCTATTATTGTGTCTGTACGGTAGAAATACTATAAAACGGTCTGCTACTGTGCATCACTTCCCAGCGCTCCATGGTCTGGGAGTACAGAAGTCTCCCAGAGAAGTGGTGTATTAGTCATCCCATCAGACCTAGATTGTGAATTTCCTTTTTTTCAATCCAATTTAATAACTTCATTTTTTATTAGTGAAAAGTTGTTTCTTTCTAATAAAAAGGTAGTTTAGTACTTAGTTTCCATGTCTATAAAACACACGATGAAATGACAAATGAAATGACATTATGTAAATGTTTAGAATATTAATAATACATAGTAATACACAATATATTTAAGCATGATTAGGAAAGATTTCATGAGTCAGAATGGATTCTGGAATGATACCTGCTTTGTAGCTTACTACTGGGAGGAAACTCATGGATATAGTACTGATTTATTTCTTATGCCTTTTAGTAAGTGATACCAACACCTATTTGTTAGCAAAGGAGAAAGGACGTTGTCTTACAGAATGGTCTGTCTCCTTCATTGGTTTTACTCCTGGCTCAGTGGCTGTTGTGGACCCTAAACCACACTGGGAATTCATGGGCCCCATCAAATAGATTAGGGGTTGGAGAAGGTGCCAGCTCCAAGCAGGGTGGTGGCTCCTAGGGCTCATGGTGCTTCTCTCTGGCTTTTTCTGGATAGGGTCTCTTTTGTATACATAGGGGCCCATGGCCTGCTCCTGATTGGATCTCTCTGAGTTTTATTTTGAAATTACCACCTCCCCTTTTTTTTCTGTCAATGTGAGAAATGTGATCTCCTTGGTCTTACCAGTTTTTACCTCCACTTGCTCCTGAACTTGGTCTCTTCTTTCAAAGTTATTTACCAGGCAGGGGCTGTTTCCTAATTCTTTCCCGTGTGTTTGCTTTGACATAGGCATAGGAAACTTCAGGTATTTTAAAAAAAGGTTCTCTATTGCTGTTGCCTACAGAAACAGTGGTTAACAATGCAGAACAAACAATAGAAAGAGGGCTGGGGATGTGGCTCAAGTGGTAGCGTGCTCACCTGGCATGCATGTGGCCCGGGTTCGATCCTTAGCACCACATACAAACAAAGATGTTGTGTCCGCCAAAAAATAAACATTAAAAAAATTTTTCCTCTCTCTCTCTCTCACTCTTTCTTAAAAAAAAAAAAAACAATAGAAAGAAGAAACCAGTGCTTTTTTGTTGTTGTTGTTGTTAGTAGTAATTCTAGGCTTCATAGAAATGGAAGTAGGATTAGTAAGGCTCTTGTTGCTTTGGATCTGATTGAGGTTAGATCTATTCGAACTATTTGGTTTGAATACTGGATCAACTGCCTTGACATTGGCACATGTTGGGTCTGGCTGGGATCACTGCCAGGTTTGGCAGCTTTCTCAGTCCCTTTAGCAATTCTTAGCTTTTGGTCTGGGCTTTAGATTCCAGTTAGCCCCGTGGTCTCTGGCTGGGTTGTTCTACTTTGCTTATTCCACCACCCCTGCCCTGGACTCTTAAATTCAGACATGTACCTGAATCAATAAATGGGTAGGCAGGCATTTCCCTAACTTCTTTCAAAGGTTCTGCTCCTCTGAAGCAGGCCATCATGCTTCTGAGATGAGACAGGTGACATTTTGCATCTTGAGGCCCATAGCATCTTAAGATGAGAGTTGTCTTCCCAGGTGCCTTTCTGTGTATTAGTCAGCTCCTTCTGAAAACCAGCAGCAGATATCTGTTTTGTTCTGGATTCTAATTTCCCATGCATTTGCATAGCACATGTAAATATTCTGGCCAGACCCCAGGAATGATCAACCTCTTCCCAACTTTAGAATAAATTAACCAATCCATGGAAAGTGTCTAGAAACATGTCCAAAAGAGATTATTCCTTAACAGCAGTAGCTGTTATGTTTATTATTATAAACAAATTTCTCATTTACTCATCAGGCACTCTTCTTACTTTACTTTCTTTCCTCCAGGCAGTGACTGATCTTCTTGATCAAAACTGTTCAAATCTTTTAAACAATAACTCATTTTTCTCAAGGGCATTCCTTCTTAGTGTTTGCTAGTTTGTTCTGTTCTTGAAGGCAACAGAGAGTCTGGCTTAAGAGACACAACACTAGTGAGTGCTGGTTTTAACACCAAAGGCCGACTTCACTATCTTTTTCTAGAAGTCATGATGCTATCTTTTTCCAAAGGTTTTATTCAAATCT